CATACCTCGCGTTCCAACACGTTGCGTTGCAGTACCACAGCAACAAAAAGCACATTGAACCACTTACATTGTACACCCTTATGGAACCAAGCACACACACACACACACACACACACACACACACACACACACGCAAACACACAAACAAATACACCAACCAACCAACCAAACCAACCAACTAAACATTTAAAGCAAGCAAGCAAGCAAGCAAACAAAGAAACAAAGCAGGCAGGCAAGCAAGCAAGCAAACAAAGAAACACAGCAGGCAAGCAAGCAAGCAAGCAAGCAAGCAAGCAAGCAAGCAAGCAAGCAAGCAAGCAAGCAAGCAAGCAAGCAAGCAAGCAAGCACGCACGCACGCACGCAAGCAAGCAAGCAAGCAAGCAAGCAAGCAAACCACCACACACACACAAACAATTCAAACAAACATGCATGCAGATATGTTACACATCGTTACACTACATCGCGCTGCATTGTGTTGCATTATGTTGGCAGGGGCAGAAGCCCTGGGCAGGTGTGTGTGTGTGTGTGTGTGCGCGTTTGCGTGTACACGTGTGTTTGCGTGCTTACGTTTGTGCATGTCCGCTCATATGCCTTATTTGTTCTTGGCTCCGTCGTCCTGTTCACGCGCGCTCCCAATCCTCGTTTCCCCCTGGCACGGTGATGTCATGCACACGTTTGCCCACGCCTGCCACGTTTTCCGGGGGGGGGTGGGGGGGGGGCGTGCGGGGGATGATTCCGTTCGGTGAAAGGGTTTGCGTTGACTGTGCAGCACACGCTGCCTCCAACGGCAGTCTGCAAGCGATACCGTAGGTTACATGTTTTTGTTCGCGTTGTTCTTCTGCTGGAAACACGGCCTTCACATGGGTCAGCACTTGCCGCAGCCAGTGAGCTCATGGCGTCTCTCCCGTTCTGTTTTGCTCTCTCCTTTTTGATTTTGCTGCGTCTTGCTGATGTTCGTTGTTTGCCTGCTGGCTTAGATCCTTTTCTTGCTGGGTTCTTTTCAGTTCGAATTCGGTACCTGGACGATTTGCATTTCGTGGCTTGTTTGCCGGACCCCGATCCCATTTTGGAGTTTGTGCTGCAGACGGGTCTCATAGAGGCCCGCTTCCCGCTTCAGTTTGACGTTTTGGAGCGTTCGGTGTGTGCGTTGCATTTGGCGTGGTGTAGTGCCTTGGCTGGCTTTGTCCCCTGCAAGGGCATTTTGCACGTTGATTTGCTTGCTGCTCAGTTCGTTCTGTTTGGTCGTGTTCTCTTGATGGCTAAGATGATGAACGAAAAGGCGCTGCGGCGCGCGTGAACAGGACGACCGAGCGTTGTTCTTGTCTTTGTGTTTGCATGCTTGTGTGCTTGTTTGCTCGGTTCCTTGTTTGCGTCCGTTTGTCTGCTTCTCTCGCTCTCTGTCTCTCTCTCTCTCTCTGTCTTTCTGTCTCTCTCTCTCTCTCTCTCGGTTCATCCCGCCCGCCATACGAACACACACACACAAACAAATAAGCAAAACAAGAAGCAAACAAACAAACAAACAAACAAACAAACAAACAAACAAACAAACACAAACACTTGTAGCAACTTGCAGCAAGCAAGCTGGCACGAAGCAAACAAAAGCACGGACAACATTCTTAAAATTCTGGAACGAGGAGTCCTGCTGAAGTTTCACAAACAAGCTGCCAGCAGCTCCATGTCGCTAAGATCCAAGTGCGCCAATTGCAAGTCCTGGCTTTCGCCAATCCTAAGTGGCAAGCAACCAGAGGAATGGACAGTAGCACTGGATGCGCTAGCTGGCACTAGGACCCTGAAAGAACCACTCTTGCGGCATCATGCCTTCAGAAGAAAACAAATATTATATGCCTGGAGGTGCCTG